ATCTCTCTTTTTAATTTTAATCAGAACTCTGGCTGCAGCATTTTGGATCAGCTGAAGGCTTTTAACTACAGTTTGTGGACTTCTTGATAGTAAAGAATTATAATAGTCCAGCCTTGAAGTAACAAATGCATGGACTAGTTTCTCAGCATCACCTCTGGACAGGAGATTTCAAATTTTTGCAATATTGCACAGATGAAAAAAGAAAATTCATTCTTTAATATGACAGGTCCTGGTCAAAATTAACACCAAGATTGTTAACTTTATAAGACATGAATTTGATTCCATTCCGATTAGGTGACTGATTAACCGCTTAGCTCCCATGCCCCTATTTACAGGATACAGTGCGAGCATTTTTCTCACAATTGCGGCTACAATTATATTGGAGCCAAAATACATGCTGAAGTTCGAGTGAAAATGGGTTGGGAGCTGGACTGCATGTTTAAGTGCCCTCTCAGGAGCCAAAACAGGTTTCATGGGCCCCCTTGAAAGCCTGTGGTGAGGACGTGCTATTTGGTGTCCCTTTTTATATGTCTTCTAACCCCTGACGTTAAAAATGTCCGTGTATGCCACTGTGTGCAAGTACATCTTTCACCCCTTTCATTTGCATTTTGCTTGTAAAATAAGCAGACTTCATTTAAGTAAGATAACTGTTAAGCTTTCATCAAAAAAAAAAGAAAAGAGAAGAAATTTCCAAAAAGTCAAATAATTTGAATGGGTGAAATACTTAGGGAACCAGTTACAAAGTGTTACTGTTGCATTACAGATTTCAAACAATGACACCTAATAGGCATAATAATGAAGCACTTTTGTCGCTATATTTAGCAACTTTTCCGACCTCTCTAGTCCCTTTATCTAGTGTCTTTTTTTCTGTGTTGAGACTTGGTGAAAAAGCACAGAAATCTGTCCTCCTGAGCGAGTGGATCCATAAGTCCGTCAACCACTGTCTCTCTTTCATGCTCCGCTTTTGTCATGCAGGACAGTCGTGGCGATATATAGCTAAGAGAACTACATTTGAGCTGGCATCCAAGTGTTTGCAATAATTTGTTACTGAACTCCTGTTACATAACAACTGTATTTATAATGATTGAAGAAGATGTATGTATATTTTTGATTCCTGACTTGTAAAATTTGTTTTTGATTAACATCCCTTCTGATGTATTCCAGCTTGGGTGGGTTTTTTTGAATTAGCAGGATGTTGTGTAATTATACCTTATAAAATCAGACTTTAGGTAGTTTTTGACAAAATGTTAACAAGAATGTGGGAAGAGGTTTGTGGTTCTGCAACTGGGATGATGCTTGCTGCTTCAAAAAGGTCGAGGCTGTTTCGATCAGACTGATTGGAGCCTAAATTCACTAATTCATGTGTATTTTAGAGAATTTGAATACTTTATTGTTTGAAATGTTCCACCAACAATTTGAATTACTGCACATTTTCGCACAACTTGTTATGTATATACATACCAATTTGTGCTACAAGGTTGTTTGCATGTACAGCAAGGTCAATTTTGATTATTTTTTGTTTTATTTATTTTAGGCAGAGATGGAGGAGCGGGCGGAGAGGAGGAAGATGCAAGAACTCCGAGAGCAGGAGAAACGGCAAGAAGAGGAGAGGGAGCGAATGCAGGAAAAGAAACAGGTTGATTCCAGTGAAGATGTGTCCGGCTGCATTCCATGGGATGAAGTGCTGAGACTATGTGATGCTTCTTTCTGTAGGAAGAGGAGGAGAAGCGGGCTAAAGAGGAACAAGAGCAACGAGAGGAGGAGGAGTACTTGAAGCTCAAAGCCTCGTTTATTGTTGAGGACCAGGGAGAGCAAGAACAGCTGTCAGAAGACCAGGTTTAGATTTCAGACTTGTTTTATCTTGATTTATTTTTAAAAGGCTTTGGTTTTAAACTGTTTTCACTTTTTTGTTTTTAGTCACTCAATCTGCTGCAGGACTTCATCAACTACATCAAGGTGAGCGGGACCCCCAGTGTCCATATTTAGCCTGCTGGTGTTTTTGAGTTGCGGATTTACTGATCTCTGTTTGCAGACATTTAAAGTTGTTCTCCTGGAGGACTTGGCATCTCATTTTGGGATGAGGACACAGGATGCAATCGCCAGACTGCAGGACCTTTTGTCTGAAGGAACACTCACAGGTTAGGACCAGGTTTCTTTTTATCTGGGAGTTTCTTGTGCTGGCTTTGGAGATTCTAAAGATGGGAACATGAGAGATCCTCCAAGAGGTTCAGATTAGACCAGTGGAACTATGAGATACAAACCTTCAGTCACATTCCATTGATGAATTGGTGTAGCCTGACCACATCCCCAGACAAGAGAAAAAGTATCTGATGAGGTCAGATTTCTGAATACTTTTTTAAAAATTAAATTAATGAAAAAATCCAAATAATGGATTGTAATTATTTTTAATGATTCGCAGAAACCCTGGATCATTTCCGCATGTTTTGCTGCTTTGAGTTTAATCATCTCGCGCATGCCCTTTACGATCTCCAAGGAACGCAGAGCGGAGCGGACGGGAGCCACAGCGGAGGCTGTAGGCTTTGCTTTGTGCAGGCGGTCTGGAGCGCAGCGGGGCGGAGCGCTGACGGAGTATGTGGGATTTCGGGGTTAGCATGACCTGTTGGTCGTGTTGCTGTTAGCATAAACAAAACGTGTTGCACAATGCTTGCACTTTTATCCACAACTTTCTTTCCGCCGTCATCGTAGGTCACTCTAAATGCAAAGTGGTCCCATACAGCAGACCTATAAAGTGCTGCTGGCGCGTCTTCCAACTCCTGTTCTTTCCCACTCGCAATACCCACACAATTCTTTACAACAATTGATTCTTCTCTGCTACACCGGCTACGCTGCTTCGCTTCTTCTTCTCTACTGGTGGTTGGCTGTGGTCGCAGTACCGCCACCTTCTGCTCTGGAGTGTAAACGCTTGGCCTGTGAGAAAAAGGCCAAGAAACGAAAAGAACCGAGACAGTCGAAACGAAGGGTTCGGACGGTTTTTATAAACCATTCCATCCCTAGTCTACATCTATTTCTTCAGAAAGACTTGCTCTTTAAACTGGGAAACTCGGGTGTATTGGCAAGGTTTTGATTCATTCGTCTTGACACAGCTATGTGGGCAACGATGGGTAGGACGGCTTCAGATTTAGCTGCACAAGGTCTTATGTATCGATCTGGAGTTGATACAGACATTGTAAACCAGAACCTGCCTCCTTCCTGATCGGTGTAACAGCTGGACATTCCTGGTCTTTCCACACTTGCATTTAACCCTCTCAGGCTCAAATTAAGTTGTAGTTGCAGGAAAAAAATCTGATATTTGGAGAAAATGATCATATGGAGTAATAATATACAATTCAGACTTCTTTTGGAGAGAGACCTTCACATGCAATGAATTCTGGGATATTGCAGATTCTCAACGGTGACCCGGAGTGATAAATTAACACTGAAGACTGAATCTGATATGAACGTTAACTTTATTTGGATGTCACAAACAAAAAATTAACAAAACAAAATTTGAACAAAAAATGTTCTAAAAATTACAGACAACTTTTTCTCCACCGACATCTCAAAACCTCTTGAGAAGGCAGTTTCTGTTAAACTGTTGCTCAAAATATAGGCAAACTAGTAGATGAAGCATGTAGCATCTATTGGTAGCTGTTTGGGCACACGTTGCAAATCCACAACATTGAAATCGAGATGCCTCTGGTGAAAAACCCAGAGGAGATAAAATCTACCAATTGACATGTGTCATATCTATACATATTCATGATTCATCTTATGCAGTATTGATTTCAAAATAATGGAAATTGGTAGTGAAATACATTAAATTGGTGCTTAGAAAATCTGTTTCAGTGACACCAAGGACTCAGCCATGGGGAAAGTGAGTCAGCAGTGCCATCTGGTGAGCTGGAGAGAAACTGTTTGTTGCAAATGCACAACTAAGTCCTTCTATTGAACTTCTGAGTAACAAAAGCTCTTAAAATACGGATGTGGAGTAATTAGCTAAGTGGCATTTAGCTGTTGCAATTCTGCAAAATCTGCCTGGAGAGGGTTAATCGTTTAATAGTATGAATGTGGAACACTCCGTGGGTTAGATTGGATCCAAGCATAAACTAGCACAAACTTTCTAATAACTTGGAATGTTGAGGCATAAATCAAATACATTTAACTCAGACATTTTGAACTAATGATCATAAACTTAAGAGTTGCGTGGACACCTTAAGGGGTTTCCTGGGTTTTTTTTTAAGTTATAAGTTAAAGTTTGTGTTTTTGACATTTAAAAACAAATGTTTATTTACTTTGTCTGCAGTGGATTTAAAACATTGTTGTAATTTTATCAAATGTTTACTCAAATAATTTATGAGCTCCCAATGATATTCTGGAAGAAAGAGTTTTGGTTTTCAGCAACCTGAAAAACTGACTGCTTGGATGGAAACTTTTTTTTTTTTTTTTTAAATATGGCAATGGCTTGCTCCGTGTTGCTTCAGGTGTGATCGACGACAGAGGGAAGTTCATTTTCATCACCCCAGAGGAGCTGGACTCTGTGGCTCGGTTCATCAGACAGAGAGGCAGAGTCTCCATCACAGAGCTAGCTCAGGCCAGCAACTCCCTCATTAACCTGATGCCTGAGAGCTGCAGCTCTGCCTGAAAATAAAGGGGATGTTTGCCGTTTGATCGAAACGTTGGGTCATCATGGAAGCGAGTACTACAGCACTGTATTTTGCAGAGGAATTAAAATGTTTCTGACATCTTTTTGTCTTATCTTTCATCTTAATGCTGTGCATCAACCAAAGTATTATCGGTTTCTGCAGAGGAGTAGTGATGGGTTCATGAGGTGTTATGAAGCGTTTCGACACATTGGGAAACTGTACTGATGCTATGTAACTGACTCCTGGAAATCATTTGAAGGCAGCCCCTTTGTCAGGCTAAACTGACACAGATTTGATGACCTATATGATTTAAGCCATCGTTTACTATAATGTGCTATTACAGATCTTAGTTAAAATTGAAAATATGTTTGAGATGTTATATGCAATCCATAAATATAAACATAAAATGAGAAAATTTAAATGAACATGTTAATATGGACTTTTGTGGACTAGGATTTATTTAAAAGAACTACGGTAAACAGCAAACCAAGACAATTTTAAATTAGTTTCAATTTAGATAACTCACTAGGAGGAACAGGATGATACAATTAAAACAAATGGATCCAAATGGTCCCATATGGCTGAAATCTTTCTTTTGCCTTGAGGTTACTTCATATCTCTTGGTTTATTTGATGATAAACTCAGTTTAGTGCGTCAGCCAGTCCGAAACAGCTCCTACATTGGTCATGTGACTTTCTGATGTGGCTGTTTGAGCTCGACAAATGCGCCGGCGCATCGGTGTTGCTGGGCCCATCACTACACTAAGCTCCAGTGGAGCAGCGAAGAATGCTTGAATTTTCAAAAGACATAAAAGTTCCTGTTTACCAGCAGGGATATATAGCTCCCCCTGCTGCTGGTAATAGTTGCTACATCCTCCTTTTGCCAGAAGGACAGCTGTTAATCTTAGTAATAGTGTCACCTGTGAGAAATCACACCGGTTTTTACATTTATTAAAAGCACTCTGTGGTGTTCTTCTTGTAGATCACTAAAATAAGATTCTTCCTGATCAAAATCACACTGATAGACTGAACTATATATTCTAAATTACTTTTTCCAGTAGAAACTTAATTCTTTTGTTATAGTAAGCAAAGTATTTTACCTAGTATTTATTCCCTGAAATTAAGTTGTAAATACCTAGAAAGGTTAACACATTTTTAGTGGCCCTTCTTACATTTATCAGCTTGACTCAATATCTATGACAGGGTTTATCCAGGAAGGAGGAACTCTAATGCTTTTTAATGCTGTTAGACATAATTTTAATGCCATCAATAAGTACCCATTACTCTCATATATATATATAACACGGCCAAATCTTTCGTAATCTTTACCATCGACAGGCTGCAGCTATGTCCCGAATTTCTCGTTTTCCAGCCGCTTATGTTAAAATTAGCATTTTCCCCATTCTCTTTTTCTGTGCCTCGAGCTTCTGTTCCGAACATACGGCTTTAGGATCAACCAGGAGCAGTTCCACGCAAACACATGGAACCAGTTAAATCTGATATATTTGACAAAGTTTTTTAATTTTTTACAACAATTTTAAATGCCATGATAATCACATTTAATAAATTTTAATGCCAATTAAGGCCTTAATTAAAAATATAATTAAATGACTTTTAATGACCGGCAGAAACCCTGTATGATAACTAAAATAGGAATATGGAGATCTGAAATGAATTTCTAGATGCAAAGAATGTTTATTCTAGATGTGATGTCATTTTGGATGAAATGGTAATTTTGACAAGAAAAAAAAAGTTTATGTCAGATATAAGGAACTCGGGTTTGGTCAAACTAATACATATCAAAACAGCATTACCATAGCCTGTTGTGACCACGATAAGATTGAAGTGAAGTAGATCAGTGTATCTATTTAGAGGTAATCCTTTGGCAGAAGGTAAAGATGAATAAAAACATTCTAATAGATGGAACCAGGTCATCGTGTCATGTTCTCAGTTTGATTCCGTCTTCCATCCCACAGTAAATACTAACTGGCTGTTTGCAGCCGCTTTGGATATTATCCCAATAAATGGTCGTTATTAGTGGTTATCAGTCCCATAGGCTCAGTAGCTTGTTATCAGCAAGCGAATCCATCATTTAAAATCCCTTTTTTTAATATCGGAGGTTTTCATTAATCCTTTACTATCAAACGGGAAGTAATAACTTCCATCACTTGGCCTGAACCAAGGATGACAGCCATGGAAAATAAATCTTTATTTGATCACAAATAAATGAAAGACTATAACATTTCTAACAGTTTCCTTTAATCCATCATTTGTCCTCATGTTTGCTAGTCATTGCCGTTCTGCGACTCGGTTTTATTTCCCATGTGGACGCCTCTCCTCTGTCCTGAAAACAAAGAACACATCAGGTAAAGATCATAGATAAACAGAGTAACACTTCAGTGGTAGCCTACCTTTATCACCACCCCTAAGGGGACCAAATCTTTTCTGAGGGTATCACAAGCTTCCAATAGGGGGACTCTTTCAGGGTACAGGGCTGGTTTGTTATTTGCATCGTTATGGCGGGTGAGAGCAAATGCACGAACTTCACTTCTGAAACGAGTTAGATGCTCTACCACTGACTGGAAGTTTCCATCACTGCTCAGCACCTCCGCCTCCTTCATAGAAACAACCAGATGTGAGGCTAAAAGGGAATTTGGAGGAAAGACGACTGCTGGTCTGCATGCAAATCCTGACCTTACTGCGTAGCAGCTCGATTCCAAACATATCCAGGACATCCTGGATGTAGGTAACCATTGCACCAAATACTGCAGGGCTCTGTGCAATTCCCCTTGACTGAAAAACACAAGAATGACACTTCTTACTTCAAGGCTTAATAATACGCTGGATCTGCAGAGTCAGACACCCTGAGTTACCGTAGTGGGCTGTAGCTGGCAGTTTCCATGATAAATGAGATTCATCAGCGCACCAATGGCTTTGGATGTGTCAAAGTCATCTGCTAAGGCCGTCCCGATGGTAGACTTGGCTTCAGCGAGTCTGAAGAACCAAGCAAGCAGAGTGAAACCCAGCAAAAGAAGGATGCATTCATGAAACCTTCAAAATGAGTTTCTACCTTTGCCACAGGATATCCTCCTGCACAGGAGAACAGGGTAACTGACCCCTAATATATGCCTGAGCAGCACTGATGAAGGTGCGGATGGTTTCCAGAGAGGTGCGAGCTTCCAACATACTGCCGTCACTGTAATCTATAGCTGTGGGGAGAACAGGCAAAGTGTGCTTCAGGGTTACTAGGGTTCAATATGTTCTGTCTTCTTACCGTTAGCACAACTTCACTTGCAGGACTTTTACGCTTTTTACCTTTTTAATTTACCTCCTAAAAGGACTAAAACAGAAATATTTGGTGTAATGTAGTGTCAGACATAAAGAAATATATATTTCAACTGTTTTCTTACAAAGAAACAATACATAGATGTAAAAGTCTATGTGCTGCTTCTTAGAAAATATGGAACCACAATTGCAAAAGTGCACCAAGCTTTCTTCCCAGATCCCCACAGCCAAGCTGGACCGTGACCAAAAACTGGCCCTGTCCTTTCCGTTCCTGGTGGTCCACCATGATCAGTGATATATGTGGAGACACAGCCTATCACATTATATATACACTCACCGGCCACTTTATTAGGTACACTTGTCCAACTGCTCGTTAACACTTATTTTCTAAGCAGCCAATCACATGGCGACAACTCAGTGCATTTAGGCTTGTAGACGTGGTCAAGACAATCTCCTTCATTGTCTATTCTTGTTCTTAGAAATGAAGGCTATTCCATACGATAAATTGCTAAGAAATTGAAGATTTTCTGCAACGGTGTGTACTACTCCCTTCAGAGGACAGCACAAACAGGTTCTAACCAGAGCAGAAAAATAAATGGGAGGCCGCGTTGCACAACTGAGCAAGAAGATAAGTACATTAGAGTCTCTAGTTTGAGAAACAGACGCCTCACAGGTCCCCAACTGGCATTTTCATTAAATAGTACCCGCAGTAGCCTGTTTGTGCTGTCCTCTGAAGGGAGTAGTACACACCGTTGTAGGAAAACATCAATTTCTTAGCAATTTCTCGTTTAAAGGTATCTTCATTGAAAAGTACAGTGCTTTTCCTTCAAAAATAAGGACATTTCAATGTGACCCCAAACTTTTGAACGGTAGTGTGTATATATATATATATATATATATATATATATATATATATATATTTTTTTTTTTTTTTTATACATAGAAATGTAGAAATTTGTGACATTCCCAAAGGTCATGCGAACACACACTGTTAAGGACCAGCTGTAATGGAAACAAAAGCTTGCCAAATGTTCCTAGGTCCACATGTAATGTGCAATGCCTGGCAATGGGGGAATGTACATCCCGTCTCGGTTGTGTATGTAATATAAAGAGTTGCTGCATATTTGCAATAATAGGTGTCAAGGGGTTAACGGAGACAAAGAGAAAGACAGGTTCTACAGTCGTTTTTCAGGTTACCCACCAGATCTATATTTGGTCATGAGACAAAACATCCGAAATTCTTCAGCAGAGTAAGATTGTAGGAAATCCTGATGTAGAAAGCAAAAAAACAAAAAAATCAATTAGTCACATAAAGCTTTACAAGCACAAGAGAAAATACAACTAGACATTGTTCCATGTATATAAATCACACAGAGGGCCACAAACTCCTAGACAGGAGTAAATAAAACCAACTGATTGTAGTTCTGACATGTACATTTAAAACCAGCCCACTGTAATTACAAGGTGATACAATAGGGCCTTAGCAAAGCTAATCAGATGCTGATGGAACTAACCTGCTACATAGATAAGTGAATGTCTTCAGGATATGAAAACCTGAAGGATTTTACATTTTTTCCAGACATTATTATGTGAAAAGGAAAAGCAACACAAAATCATTCTTGATAGTCGAAGTCAAAATGAACGAGTAAACATGTTTTAAATAAGTTTAGTTTGTGTAGCATGGATGTTTTTTTTTCTTCCCCAAAACCAAAGAGCACTAAGGAGTACTGTACATCTCCAGAACATGTCTGTCATCCCTTCATCCACTCTCCATCTCTCTCAGACAGAAAAAAAAACAAATGTTAACAGTGAGACTGATCTGAACAACAATCCACTTTCTGTTCCACAATGTAATTTCAATGGTAGCTCGATCTCATATAGAGTCACCAATTGTGATTTCTTTGGTCGAAATGACAACAAATTTACCCAGAGTGCCTTTGGTACCGACATTCCAGCTGCAGGTGTAGTGACCCATAATTCTCTGAGTAAAAGTTTCATTTATATCAGCAGAGCTGCATAATATATAATGATTCAGCCTAATATAATTGCTTCTTAGTAACAACAAATGTGGTCACCAAGTAAAAACACTGGGTTTGGATAACAGCTGACTGATTGAACAAGACTCTTATCTCAGTCTGGAGCACTCGGAAAATTGGTTTGTACCCGTCTCCTAAATCAAAAGTACAAAGAATTTAAAAATTCATTTTTTGTCTAGTATGACACCCACTGTTTCTATATTTAGAAATTGAATTTTGAGGGAAACAAATCCATGAGGAAATCTGCACTAATACAGAAAGTCTTTACCTTGATCGAAATATAATTTTTCAGAGATTTGGACATTTTCTCTGCACTGCCCTTCAAGTGTAAGTGACCTAAAAGAATAAGAACACCCAATCAGTCAAAGGCACATCAAAGAAAATGTTATGAAGATATCTACAATAGTATTACTTCTCTACTTATGTAGTATTCTAATTCAAAGATGTCAATAGGAACGGAGAGATGAAGAATCAAGATGCCTCATAAGCTCCATGATGCCATCTGGTGGATAATAAATGTAAAAGGTTTGGTAACGATGATGCGATTTTTTCTGGCCTAAAGGCTTGTTTATCCTCAGAAACCAGGTCACCAGTTTGTGTGTCGCAGTTAACGCAGATATGCCCCCGCCCCTTATGCGGACAGTCTGGTGCACCTCTCCAAAATTGTAAGACAGGAGGCCTCTGATTGGTCAAATCTACATTCGCTCTACACTATACCCATTTCCTGTTTGGTACCTTACCGGCTTGTTGTGTTTGTATGACCGGCACGGTGGAAAACGACTCGTAAAGATGGGACAACCTAGAAGAGCGAAGTGAGCGAGAACGCTAGGACCCTTTTTCTATCTGATCCCTGCTCTTTTTCGTCCTTATCTACCTCTGTTGTCGCACAAACTTGCCCCTTGGGTTTTTCCACTTCCTCACCACTTCGGCCATATCTAGACACACAGCTAGTTTGTAATCGTCTCTCTTGCTTTGTGGCGTGGAATTACATAGCGCACCTTGAACATGGTCTGTATATGGTCTTTTATCTCTTTTTATGCACCTTTATTACTAGAAACATGCCTCGAGACATCCCAGACTCCGAAGTCCTCACCCATGCTGACCTGCCCAGCATCAACACCATCCTGATGCAGTCCCAGCTTCGATGGGCAGGACACGTAGTTCGCATGTCTGATGACCGCATCCCAAAGAAACTGCTGTTTGGCGAGCTACAGCAAGGAAAGCGCCCCCAAGGTGGACAAAAGAAGCGTTTCAAGGACACACTCAAAGCCTCGTTGAAGGCCTTCAACATCGACCACAACACATGGGAGCACAACGCAGCGCAAGACAGAGGAATGTGGCGATCCGCTGTCCAAAAAGGTGCCAAAGCTTGCGAGGCAAACCGGGTCGCTGTGGCTGTAGAGCGTAGGCAAGCCAGGAAGATCAGAGCTGCCAATCCTGCACCAGACGCCACCATTCATTGTCCGCATTGCCCATGACTTTTCCGTGCACAGATTGGCCTGACCAGCCACCTGCGTACTCATAGACTCTAACTTCCCCAACCATAGGATGAATAGATGGTCCTCATCATATCGACGGACGAACAGGAGCGCCCCTTAAACATGGTCTGTATATGGTCTTTTATCTCCCTTTATGCACTTAGCAAAAAGTCCACCTTTATTACAAGAAACATGCCTCGAGGCATTGACAAGCTGGACACTTTAAGTCTGGCTTTTGGAAAGTATCAAACTCCATTAATTAGAAGTGCCAGTGTTGTGCATTTAGACGTAGCCAAATCTTTTTTCATGGAACTATCACTGTTTAAATAAAACTTTGAGAAATCATAAAAGAGAATAAGTCATCATTTACAACGAAATCATCGTTCAATGGTTTTGTCTTAGTTATGTTAACCACCTTAGAATCTTGAAGAATGAGAGTGTGAATGCTTGCAATTTATCAAAACAGCTAAATTAGCTTGAAAAAAAGGGCAGAAATTCCAATGGATATTATGAAGTCCTTGAAGAACAAAGAGTGCTTGAACATTTAATGTAAGCAAGTTTGAGGGATCTTAGAACCTGTTAGGGTCGTGTATAAAGGATTCACCTGAATGAAGGAAGTAGTTTGCCCATTGTCCACACCGATGAAAGGCTTCACTCTGAGCGATCTCATTCTCATGGTGAGGAAAGGCCAGATCAATCCCGCCAGAGTGAATATCTAGCTGACTCCCAAACACGTGGCTGAAACCAGTAAAACATAACCTCTATTGGAATTGCTAACAATTGGATCACGGTTTCCATCATGTCTGTATTTTAGTCCGTTACAAAGTACACACATCTACTTCAGTTTCAGACAAATGAAGACTCAGAATTGCAATCTACGGCTAAAAGCAGTGGATGTATATGCCATACATAGGCTGTGTAAAAACATCTGGTTTCTTACTGTGTGAAATTAACTCAGATTAAGGTCCAATCCCAACACACCCCTAGGGATATGAATCTAGCCCTTTAAAATGAGAAATTTTTATATTCTGACATGCTGGGAGAGGTACGGAAGAGGATTAGGGCCACTGGGAAGAAAAAAAAAAAGTTAACTGATTTTTAAATTTTATTTCAGTTTACATAGGAAAAAAGTCAGAATTCTGAATTTTTGCTCAAAATTCTGACTTTTTTCCTAGAATTCTGACTTTAATCTCAGAATTTTGGATCTTAATGTAGATGGGCACCATGAAGGAAGAGATGTGAGAGCACTCAGCTTCACTGACAAAGATGTGAGTTGTTTGAGAGGGGCAGTGACACATTGGTGGAAAATGACAGAATTAGGCAACTTTTTACATGCCCGAGGGATCCCCCTATTAATGGAGGAGCAGAAGGTCTTTAAAACAAGAGAGCTAGTCTCTAAAACATACATGGCTATGGCTTAATGCTAACATGGTTGTTATCTGTCAGAATTCTGAGAAAAAAGTCATAATTCTGAGAAAAAAGTCATAATTCTGAGAAAAAAGTCATAATTCTTAGATTAAAGTCAGAATTCTGAGAAAAAAGTCAGAATTCTGAGAAAAAAGTCAGAAATCTGACTTTTTTCTCATGTTAAACTGAAATAAAACGTAAACATCTGTTACCTTTTTTATTTTTTTCAGTGGCCCTAATCCTCTTCCGTATAAAGGGCCAGAGACAATTAAAAAAACAACAAAAAAAAACATAGAAGATAGGGATTTTATGGAATGACTTGCAATTTTTTTTTTGTTGTTCTTCTGGATTAAGCTCATTCTATGACCAATAGAGGTTAGGTAAGACAGTGTTTTGGGGCTCAGATAGGAGCAGCAGCGAATCAGTACGTGAACACAGGCAGAGAGAAAACCAGAAACGGAAAGAGGCTGCCATCCTTTAGAGCTAAGGAAACACAGCAGGAGATCAGAGGAGCCCGCTGAGGAAACCGGGATCCAGAGAGAGGAGAGAAAGCAGCAGCTTGCCAATAAATTGCATTAGATCTGAGAATGGGAGAGGCTACAGTGGGCTGAGGCTATAGCTGACTGGCGCTAACAATAGTCCTGAGGAAGACTGGATAAGTTCGACGAGGGTTACAGATGGACAAGATTAGGACGGCAGGCCGGAGCTACCCACTAGATCAGTGATCGACAACCTGTGGCTCTTTAATGCCCCTCTTGCGGCTCCCTGGAGCTTTTTCAGTTATGTATGAAAATAGAAAAAGATGGATTCTTTTTGTTTGTTTGTTTTAATATGGTATGCAAGAGGGCAAACAAACATTCATTATGTTTTCTAATGCTGTAAAAATGTGTATAATAAATACATTTAAACAATATAAATATTTCTGTTAAGGAGGATTTGCATTATAGCCTGCAACACGCGTTTCAGTGTGGAGCGATGGCAGGCTGTTTTATACAAAGCGGTGGGTGTGTCTCAGGGGAAAAAAAGGAAGATAGCTGATGAGACCAGCGGATTCAAAGAAAAATGGACCGAATCATTTGCTTTCATTACCAATGCGGAAGGATTGCCTGCATGTTTGCTTTGTAATGAGAAGTTGTCAAATAATAAAAAGAGTAATTTGGAAAGAAATCCTAAATTCACGCCCGACCACCAAGTTAGGAGTGAGAGAAAAAGTGCAATTCCAGAATTTCTGGATAAATAACAGGAGCACAAAGACAGATTTAAGAATTGGATTGCATCTCCAAACTTCACTACTGCTGCTTAACGCAAGTTTCGGACTATTAGCCGCACCTGAATATAAGCCGCAGAAGCTAAATTGCATGATTTGTACATATACAAGCCGCACCGGACTATTAGCCGCAGGTTATTTATGTTTAACGCAAACTGTATTACGCTCGCAATGTCCGTCTTTCTCACTGTCGTTCTATCTCGTACCACCCGCGCGCGGCTACTGTACTTGTGTGTATTACCCTAGTGGCCGTTAGCTTTAAAAGTCCACAGATAAGCTGCATTATTATAAAAGCCGCATGGTCGAAAAATGGGGAAAAAGTCGCTGCTTATAGTCCGAAAATTATGGTACTTTTGTTGCAAGCATGGAAAACCTTCCACAGATCGAACAGGTAGCGCTCCTATGCAGGTGTGTGAACTTTCTTCCATTTTGTCCCCTAAAACAAAAATAACAATAAAATCTGACTTCTTTATTGTGTTTCTATAATTTCATCAATGCAACAAAACCTAAAACATTAATATCGTAATGGAACTTAATCTAAAAGCACCAACAATTGTACACCAGAGTAGTCACAGGATGTGACATTTGTTCAAGGATAAACATTTAATCATGCGTGCTATATATTTAAAGGCACGGTTTACGAATACGAGTTATTTTAAATGATTCATCAGGCCAATATACAGCGATGACGCCATCATTGCTACAAAAGCTTTTCTCCTCTGTTATGGTGCTAGGTATCTTATCTATGTGCATACACAGTTGTTTACGTACCAGAGTGTTATATATGCAGCGAGGGGTGTCCCAATTAATAGGGAAGACTACAAAGCCCAGTGGTAGAGTACTTGTGGTAGCAAGTAGGGGGTGTATTGAGATTAGGCCTAAATATTCACCTTTTTAGCTCAGTTACATAGAGGAAAAGATCCTGAACAGGATTTGAACTCAGGAACATTATTTGAGAATAAGTATTTATTACCAATACAGAAGTATCTTTAGCGGAAATATTCAAAGCAATAGCAAAACTGTTCAGTTTCTAAACAGCTCAGTAGAGAAGAAATATAACAGAGGGAATTTGAACCTGGCAATAGTCGAACATTCAATATGCCAGCCAGGTCTTCCTTGGCCCCATGGAGATTCCCAGTGCGGCTCGTGAGGTTTGGACGTCTTCCACAGGGCAAAATCCCTGGAGTCCCGTTTATTTGAAGTGCCTAGGGTAACAGACAGAATAAAGAAATTTATTATTTGTTATTTTGGACAACTGTGAGAATAAGAGTTCAGGTACGTTCACAAAATAAAAGTCACCACGCTGGTGACTTTCTACATTATGCAGTCTGCTGGTCATTGGTTTCACCCCAGCATGGCAGACATTTCTTTCTTTTTTAAATCCTCCAAACCGAACAAAGCTGCATGCATTCACTGGATTCCCAGAGATGGAACTAGCATTGGAAAATCCACCACCTCCTCCAGTGGCTACGTCTGGAAAAGGGTCGCTTTCAGCCTTACTTCCGCATACCCATAACCCAGTTCGGGGACCTCCTGTTCCGCTTTGGGAAAAAAAGGGAAAATAATGGGAGAAGCTAACTGCTGAGGATCAGGGGAGCACAGTGGCAGATAGGATAAGTCCACCCGGAGACCAAAAACTGAAGGGGTGAGACCACGGCTGCTCAGGGGTAGGATATTGGTAAATCGGAGAAACCCAGCAGGGAGACAGAGCTAGAAGAAACTAGGGCTGGCTGGAGTTAGCCTCTAGACGCTAATTGCTGGAGTTGAGAGTATAACTGAGGATCAGCAAAGCTTGCCCATGCAGACAGCGACAGAGTGTGGAAAAGAAGGAATTGGCTGACTTGTGTCTACACTCGAGGTATGGCGGAGAAATATTCCTTCTAAGGCTAAATCAAAACAGCTTCTTCAAAAGTCACCTTAAATATTCTTAAGAACGATTCACTGCCTCCTTCGCTGTAGCTCACAGCCATAAATATGTAAACAAAAGTTCAGATTTTTCAACTCCTGCAAATTTATTTTGGCTGAATGTTTCAGAACATTTAACAAATTCACATGTTAGTCAAAGGTAACACTGATTTACACCAAATTCAGTTAATAAATTATGGGTGTTAAGGAAAATAAATCCAACCTGCATATGGCCCTCCTTTGTCCATTTCAAAGTTGAGCTTTTATTTTACACTTGAAGCAGTATTCAATATAATATCATATAATATTCATCCAGTATTCATCTGGAAAGTCTGCTGTAGAAAGTGTTTGAAAAAAGAGAGGGACACTACACTACAATTCTTCAAGCTGATTGGGTAAATCACCTTCCTATGTCAAGCTTTTAGCCCAGCTGGGAAATTTCACATTCTTGATCTGTTTCAAAACCAATGAAACAAAACTAGATAAATCAAACTCTCACCAAACCTGGTCATAAGGAACATGCAGACATCATTCCCATCCACAAAAGGACAAATCGCTTCCTTTTGCTCTTTTGGCTAAAACCGAAGGAGCTGTCTTTTTTTTTTTTGCTTCAGCATTTAGTATAATTGTAACTAATTGACGATTTACAATTATACATGTGACTAAATTTTTTTGGTATGAAACATTTCATACAGAAATGGTTTCTTGTGAGATGCATTTTTGGGATTTTTTGAATTACAAAAATCCCGCAGCAAATCATCTTGCAAGTAGGGTCACGACCCCATGTTTGGAAAACAATGATTTAGAGGACAGTTTTACAAAGAGGTTTTATATAATTTCAAAGGATCATTAACTTTTCGAAGTTAGGTTCTTACAAAAAACATTCAAACATTTGGGAAAACAAAAAACATTATCTTCTTAACACCACAGTTATACCTACCCGGCTCTACCTGAGAACTTGCAGCTCCAACAAACTTCCCATAACGTTCACCTATGGACTGAACGTCAAAATATACGTTGCCTGCAAACAAAGAAAACTGGTCATATACCTCAGACACAGGGGCTATACAAGTTTTTTTTCTTTTCTCAAATCAACCATTATTCATACCCACCTTCGGGTGTGGCATAAGCATGCCCATTTCTGATAATTCCTTGAATAAATGCAACGATATGATGAACATTCTCTGTGACTCTTAGATACACAGCAGGAGGAACCACCTGAAAGAAAGCCACAGGTTTGTTTTTACGTGAACAGTTATCAGAATCCTTTGAGAAAAAACGTTGCAGAGCCGACATGATGATAGCTGAAAAGTTATGCACAACCTACCTTTAATGACAGCATGTCCCTCTTAAACTCATCCTCATACATCCTAGCAATCACAGCTGGAGACACATTTTCCTGAGCCATGAGGAAACACTTTTAGCATCACTCACAGGAATCCATATGTTGAGCATATTATTGTGATGCTTACCTCCCAACTTCTTTTTATAATCTTGTCATCAATGTCAGTAATGACCATGGCATGGATAACAGTGATACCAAAAAACCTGCTCAGGATCCTCTGCAGGATATCAAACCTGACATAAGAACTAGGAGGAAGCAGAGGTTGGAGCACGTTTTTTTTTTTTTTTTTTTTGTCAGACGTTCCTGCAAACCTACGGAAGAGGATTAGGGCCACTGGAAAAAAAAAGTTAACTGATTTTTGCATTTTATTTCAGTTTAATATGGGAAAACCTCTTAAAACCCACCTGGTGGAACTTAAGTGTGGGTAATAATTCAGAATGCATAAAATTTCACTGGTAAACTTTTTACCAGCAGGTGGAGCCATTGTGACCAGCTCCAAGCTGATACCAGAACGTACCTGTTCAAAAAAGACCTATCATTCCCGAGAATAAAAAAAACAACAACTTTTGAATCATGTTTGAACTGATGCAGGTTGGTCTGTAATCTACTCACCCAAACTAGAGGGTGTTAGCTTTCAAATAATGTATTGCACATGTAATTTGGGTTTACAGTTCCTAAATAATATTTGCTTTTCCATTTGGGTATGCAAAATAGACGAGGATTACCCAAAATGAGGTGGATGTTAAGAGGTTAATATCAGAATTCTGACTTTTTTTTCCTCAGAATTCTGACTTTAATCTCAGAATTCTGGGTTTAATCTCAGAATCCTGACTGTTTTCCTCAGAATTCGGATTTTTTAAACTCAGAATTCGGACTTTTTCCCTCAGAATTCGGACTTTTTTCCTCAGATTTCGGACTTTTTTCCTCAGATTTCGGACTTTAATCTCAGAATCCTGAATTTTTCCTCAGAATTCGGACTATAAACTTTTAAAAATCAGTTAACTTTTTTTTTTTCAGTGGCCCTAATCCTCTTCCGTATAAACCTGCATATCAAATACAATATAAAAACATCAGTGTAGAATATAATGTACCATGCATGCCCCAGGTGAGCATGGTCATACACTGTGGGTCCACAGCTGTACCTAGGATAAGAGAAGACATCCTTTAGGGTCATTGGAAGACGTAAGAACAGAGTGATGGTCAATATGTTCCCTACCATGTTGCGGTTCCTTCTCTAGCCAAGATCAGAGCTTCTTTCTTTTTGGTCAGGCTGTTAAATGTCTTTATTCCCGTGTCGAAGCCTGTGGGGGTGAGCCATGCCTTCCCTGAAGCACTGTACCTCACAGAGGCAGAGCAGCTGGAGCTGAGGATACGGAAAAGGACCTTTCCACTCCGGAGCATTGTTAATCAGGGACCCCTATTAGGGTCGGTTAGCGTTTGGACCGACAGCTACCTCATTAAAAGGGTCCGTCCTGGAATCGACCGTGTGCTGTACTTCCTACCTCTAGCTGTTATTATTGTTTTAAGCATACATTATGGGTAAGACGGCAAAGCATGTCAGAACCCTTGACGTTCGGAATGTCTTTTTCCTTGTTTTAATTAGCAACTCTTTGGTGTGTTATCGCCATCTATTGGCTAGGAGTGACTATGAAACGCAAGCTTTCTGTCCTATTATGCCATATTGAGTTGTGAGCATTGAAGTCACCACACCATATCGCCCTTTTATTTAAATGTAATATGATTTCACCCAGTAAATATACAGATAATTTCTTACATGGGTTGTAAAAATTTATCAGCTTAAATTTACCTTCTTTTGTCCATAATTCAATAGTAATATATTCAAGTGTTTTTCCCTTTGCTAGTAGTTTATACTGCAACCCTCTCTTTAAAAGAATTATACATCTACCTCCATTACCCTCCTCTCTATCCCTTTGAATACTATGATAACCATTAAAAAGTCTAATGTAGGTTTTAGCCAGGTTTCCTGAATACATATAAGTTCAGGTTTTATTTTTAACTTTTATCTAAATCCTTTTAACTCTTAACTATTTCCTATTAAACTTTTAGCATTCCATTGTAATATTAACATACTGTTCAGTCATCTGAACCTGGATGTTTGCCATCTGCTTCAAGTTTTTGTTTGATCTGTTCCCAAGAAATATTCCTCATCCCTAGAATATTTTCAACTCCTTTTACAATGATCTTGATTTTTTCAGTTTCCTGTTTGACCTGGTCCGTACAATTAATTACATATGTAATGAATAAAATCACTTTATCAAAATCTATAGAGTTACTTATTACTGTTGCTCTGGTTCTTTCCTCAGGATTTGAATGTCACCCATGTTTTTTATGTAGTTCCTGAACCTTCTTTACTGCTTCAGCATAGCTTAAGTTGTTTGTTGATTTAACCTATTGAACCTCAACTGCTCTTTTCCTGACCTAACTATGGAAGCAAATCGTTACCATATTTCAAATGAAAAAGCATTTTCAGAAATGCTTTTTCATTTTAAGAATGTCGCTGCATTTTTTGACTCATAAATGAAATTATTAATCAATCATCCGATTTGCATTTTAATTTTCTTCTTCAACACTGCTCATCCTTTTACCTAATTAAAATGAAAAAGAAATGTAACGATCTTGGTTCTGTTGTTTTTCTCTAAGTTTTCAGTTTCAAGTTTATCCAGGTTTTTCCTTGTTTTCTAGCTTTATTGGTGTGTCTGGATTCATTTAAGTTGCTTAGGTTTTTCTGTCTGTCCTCTGTTGCCCCCTTGTGTTCTTTTCCCTTGGCTTCCTCATCAGCTCTAGTCACACCTGCTCCTTAACAGCTCATTAGTCCTACCTTTGTTCAGTCAGCCATAAATTCAGTCCCTCTGCAGTCCCTCTTTGCTGGTTCCTCGTCTTACTTTTTTCTCACCCTGGCTCCTTGATGGTTTCCCCCTGATGTCTCCATGGTTCTGGTTTGTGTTTGATTTTTATGTTGGACTTTTGGATTCGTTTTTTGCTGCCTGTTCTTCCATTAAACCTTTTAAGAACTCACCCCTCCCTGTTAGCCTCTGCATTTGGTTCCTCACAAAAAATACATTTGAGATTTATTTTTTCAAAATGTACCCCAGCAAACACATACCAAAATTCAATTTGAAATGTAAAATTTGAAAATGAAAAAGCATTTCCAGAAAGAATTAGGCTGCATTACTTGACAAATAAAATTAGTGATCAATCATCATGAAAATTCATGTGCTGAAAATATTATTGTTTATGGTTAAACAGGCGCTGTGGAACACTGACAAGAAAAAGCCTGTTGATTACTATTTTCTTTGTGAAAGCAGGTATGTGATATTTTATTATTCTTGTGGGATTATTGTGTTAATTTTTTCTTATTTATGTACTGTTTAAGGGTATTATGACCCTGTTTAGGCTTAATTATTAATAATTGCTCCAATAATTTCTAGTTTGTAAGGTAGATGTGTTATTTTAAGTTGTGCTCTGTTTGATTCCATGGGAGAAGGCGATGTGGAACACTGACAAGAAAAAGCCTGTTGATTAGTTCAATCAGTTTATTTATATAGCGCCAATTAACAACACAAGTCATCTCAAGGCACTTTACAGTTCACCGGATCATACAGTCAAATTAATTCAAAGTTTTCCATCTAAGGAAAACCAGTTGATTGCATTGACTCATTAAATCGAATGCAATCCCTCACAAGCATGCTTATAGCGACAGTGGAGAGGAAAAACTCCCCCTTTTGTTTTTTTATTTTATTTTTTTTATTTTTAACAACTTGTACAAAGTTAAAATCTTATGTCTCCACCAACATATATCATCTGCATTACAACTTCACATCGAAAGGTGAGTCAGTGGATGTTCTAACAAATGTAGTAATGAATACATGATAACAGATCAAAATCAACAGAGGCATAACAGAAAAGTAAATCCCCCCCTGAGGTAAGACAGTCCACACATTCATAAGCATCATGGTATTTTACATCGACTCACAGATACACACTAATGCAAAACTGTAGATGTGTCACTGATTTAATAATGGTAAAACAGCTCTCCATATGGTATTAAAGACCGTTTTTTGAAGCCTTAGGGAATGCGTTATTCCTTCCATCAAGTGAATGTCCCTAACTTTTTGTATCCATGTGTTGTATGTAGGAGGCTCTGGCTTCAGCCATCTGATGGTTATGCATTTCAATGCTGCTGTTAGCAAGATTCTTAAAAGATATCTATCCCCCTTCCTGTCTATTCCATCGGGAATTTCTCCCAAAATTGCCACCAAGGGAGTTTTTGGGGCATTCCTCCTGAAAATTACTTTTAAGAGTTTCAAAGATGTCCTCCCGGAATACGCTTAGATTGGGACAAGACCGGAAAAAGTGCGTATGATTTGCATTCTGTGTTCCGCAGTTTCTCCAACATGAACTGGGTTGTGTTGGGCCAATTTTACTGGTTATTGTTGGCGTTCTGAAGAACCGGACTATTACTTTCCATTTGAATTCTCTCCATGTGTTAGAATTTGTTGTTAATTGTGCTTGGGTACATACGGTGGTTCTTCCCATGTGTCCCCTTCTATTGACTCCTGCAGTTCAGTCTCCCATTTATGCTTTATGTATATAGAATCATGCCCATTTGTAGATAGAAACAGGTCATATATTTTACTAATTACTTTATTGTTTCCTTTTCCTCTTTGTATGTCCATTAGGAAATTTTCTATAGGTGTAAATTCACTGAGTTTGCTCCAATTATTGTGTGTCGTTACGAAGGTTCTAAGCTGTAAGTATCTATAGAAGTCGGTCTTAGGGAGACCAAATTCACTTTTCATCTGCTCAAAAGTTTTGAAGTTTCCCCCTTTAATGAATTGATGGATATGAGATAGACCGTAATTAGACCAGTTTTTGAACCCGTAATCTAAATTGTTTAGTGTAAATGTCTTTATAAATCCTACATTTCATAAAAGTTAAATCTGTTTTGATAACTTAAAAGCTGATTGTATTTTGTTCCAGACTTTGAGGGTGTTGTTTTGTCCAGGTTGTCATTTCCTTTGCAGGGGCATCTAAGAAAGGTAATGTTTGCAGTGGCACTGAGCACCTGCTTACCTCTATTTCCAACCAACGAGTATCTGCACTATTCTGTAGCCATGCTAATAGGGGTTTAAGTTGTGCTGCCCAGCAATAAAATTTTAGGTTTGGAAGTTTGAGTCCCCCCTTGGGTTTACGTAGCTGTAGAGTTTTCAGTCTGATTCTAGGCCGCTTTTTTTGCCAAATGAATCCAGTTATCACTATCTAGGGTGTCAAAAGTAGATTTGGGAATTTTTTCTCCAGGTCATTTTTGTTGACTTGTAGAAGTTTGCGATAGTTTGCCTCATAGAGGTCACACAGAGATGAAGGTATTTGAATACCCTGATATCTGATACCGTTCTTGGGCCATTTGAATCTACTCTGTACTTTTAGAGTCTGGGATTGTGCCATTTATATCCATAGCTTCTGTTTTTTCTATATTGATTTTGTAGCCTGAGTAAAGTCCATATTCAGAGATGAGTTGTTTTAGATGGGGGATTGTTGATTTAGGTTCTGTCAAGTACAATAATACATCATCAGCATATAATGGAATTTTGTGTATTGATTTATTGATTTCTATATCTTTAATATTAGCATTATCTCTAATGATTTGAGTTAATGGTTTAATGCTAATGGCGAACAAACAGCGGTGAGAGTGGGCACCCCTGTCTGCACCCCCATTTTTAAGAGGATCTTGTAGATCTGAAGCCATTAACTTTAACTGCTGCCTGTGGAGAGGAGTAAAGTGTTTGCACCCAGTCAACAAAATGTGGACCAATTCCAAAACGTTTCAGGGTATGAATTAAATATTTCCAGAAGGCTCTATCAAATGCTTTTTGGGCATCTAGGGATATGATTGCTGATTCAGTCTTTCTCTCTTTTTGAACGCTTGTTTGGTTTAGTAAGCATCTTAAATTATCAGCATAGAACCTGCCTACAATAAATCCTGTCTGATCGTGGTGTATGATTTGTTTAGTCGTCTTGTTAGGATTGCTGTGAGTATGCGTGAATCTGTATTCAATGGTGATATAGGTCTATAGGACTGCAGGATCCTTGCCCGCTTTGTGGATTACTACTATTGTGGCTTCTGTCCAAGATGGTGCCATAGTTTTGGATTTTAAAGCATGATGATATGCTTTTAAGAGCAAGGGGGCCAGGAGATCTATAAAAGTTTTATGAAAGTCATTGGTAAATCCATCCGGGCCTGGACTTTTGTTGTTCTTGAGTGATTTAATTATCTGTTTAATCTCCCATTCCTCAATCGGTCGATCTAATTCCAGTGCCATCTCATCCGTTAAATGGTTTAATTTTATGTTATTTAAAAAATCTGTGAGATCTTGGTCATTACTACAGGTATCCTTGTTTGTATATAATAATTTGTAAAATTTTGCAAAGGTCTCTGTTATTTTATCAGGACTTGTCTCAACAGTCTCTTGGGATTTTATTTTTTAATGAACAATATTGGAGGACTGTTGTTTCTTCAGTCTAAATGCAAATAACCTACTAGCCTTTTGGCCATGTTCATA